TTTGTTAGGGTTTGTTCATTAAGGATTTGCACTAAAGACACAAAAGTGAAGCTCTTTAAACTTTTATGCAAATCAAAAGTGACGAAGCAGCCAATCACAGAGCAGCCTTCAGCTAAAAGCAGTTTTTGGGCATAATTTTGGTATTTAATTTTTTTAATGCACTTTTTTTAATTGTCAAAGTTTGCACCGTCCAATCACAGTCCTTCCTTCCTCTGAGCTGACGTCTGATTGGCTCACGGGCTGTGATGTCATTCCACACTCCTTTGATATTTCAGAAAAACTTTGAATGTAAAAATAAATTTGATATTTTTGTAGATGTATATTTTTGACTGAAGCTTTGTATGAATTAAAAAATAAATCATTCTTAAATTTGTTGTTTTTTTTTATGTGACTGAGTGTTTTCAATAAAACTCCTTTAGTTTAGAGACGAGGAGAGAGGAGATGAGGGGAGGAGACGAGGAGTCAAGGAGAGATAAAGAGGGGACATTGGTTACAAGTTTGGATGTTTGATTGCAGATGCAAAACTTAACCAAACTTAAAGATGACTCTGGGTCTGGGAAAGGTGCAGTCCTGGATTAGACCGGGTTTAGATCCTTTTTCAGATTCTGTGGTCCAGCTGTTCCCTCGAGCGTCCAGCAGAGGGAGGCAGTGAGGAGCGTGTGGTGCGGTGTGCAGACGCGGCCAGCAGAGGGCGCTGCAGTCACATGAGCGGGTCAGGCTCTGGTTTGAATCAGTGAATTTGAGATTTACGCAGGAAAATGTCACTGACTCTGGAAGCATTAAAGGTGCACTGTGTAACTCTGCTGGTGGAGGGTCCGTCACCTGCTCGTTTCTATGGAGATGTTATTGTGCCTGGAATGTTCCACAGTGTGACAGTGTGAAATCCATAGAAAAAAGACATTCTGACTGAGAGTGGGGTCGAATCTTCACAGATCTGACCAGGAACTTGGTCTGATTTGGTCTCCATGAAGATAGAAAGGTTTAATGCCATACTGTGAAACATTTCACATAAAGCAATAACATTTCCATGGAGAAAAGTGACACTAAATTATACATTTTTTATGTAAGTAAGTAAGTAAGTCTTTATTTATATAGCGCTTTCACAGACATTTCTGTCCCCAAAGACGCTTTACACAGCATTATTCCTTCAGCATTCATTCATTCACTCTACACCTGGTGATGGTAAACTACTGTTGTAGCCACAGCTGCCCTGGGGCATGACAGACACTCGGCGCCATCGGTCCCTCCGACCACCACCATCACTCACACACACACACACTTTCATACTAGGCAATGTAGGTGAAGTGTCTTGCCTAAGGACACAATGATTGAACTGATTGTATTGAACTGACCTGGACTATCAACTGTTCTTGGACCTGGAGCAGGTTTTGGGTTGATGAGGGAAACCAGAGCCCAGAGGAAACCATCCAGACACGCGGAGAAACATGCAAACTCCACACAGAAAGGCCCAGGCGATCGAACCCAGAACCTTCTTGCTGTGAGGCAATGTCCAAAAAGTTGTATGAAAAGAGTGAATTTAATTTTCTGTTTTTTGTTTTTGTTTTTTTCAGGTGTATTTTTGGTCCTATAGCTTTTATCACAGCCGCACGACACGAGTCCAGCAGCAGATAAAAGTGAAATATCAGGCTGTAGTGACAAAAAGGATGTAACACTTCATTAGAGGGAAAGGGGGAGTTTTAAACACAAAATTAAGAAAAAAATCCAGGCGAGGACAAATGTACTAAAATTGCTCTTGCAGCGTTAATGTGGAACAGTTCTAACTCTAACCCTGAGGATCTGAGGTCCGCTGCTGCTGGGTTCATAGTTTTAAAAGTAAACTCAAAACATATCTTTTTAATTTAGCTATTAATTGAACTTTTTACTTATTTAAACTTAAATTATTATTATTATTGTTATATTTGTTTTAAATTAAATTATCATTACTATTTTACTTATTCTCCAGCTGACCATTTTTATTTTTACTTTAACCTTTAGAAGCTTTATTATTTATTATTTTTATGTTTTGTGCTTCTGTTTAATTTTTTGTTTTGTCTTCTGGGGGGGGGGGCGTCCTGACGGGGGCGCTGTTCCTCTCTGTGAGTCTCGAACTGAAGGGAATCCCCGGGGAACCCCTTCATGATGTCATCGGAAACACAGAGTTTAAAACGAGAAGAAAAGGAGGGAGGAGGGAAGAGAGGAGGAGGAGGAAGAAGAAGAGAAGAGGAAAGGGGGACAAAGAAGAGGAGAAAGGAGAAAGAAGGGTAGATGGAGAGAGAACAGTAAAGAAGAGATGAGAAGGAGAGAAGAGGAGGAGAGGAAGAAAATTAAATAAGGGGAAGAGAAAGAAGAGAAGCGTAAAAGACACAAAGGAGAGGAGGATGGAGGGAGAAGAGAAGTGGAGGAGAAGTGAGAAAGACAGAGGAGGGACAAGGACTAAAGAAAGAAAGAGGAGTTGAGGACTTAACCAGGACCCCCCCCCCCACCCCCTCTCTCTCTCTCCCCTCTCTCTCTCTCTCTCTCTCTCTCTCTCTCTCTCTCTCTCTCTCTCTCTCTCTCTCTCTCTCTCTCTCTCTCTCTCTGTTGATTGGACGCTTTTCTCTGCTCTCATTGGTTCTTGTCGTCTGCTCTTTGATTGTCTTCTGGCCATGGCTCCTCCCCTTTTCTCTTCCAGTGTTTTACTTTCACCACATCCCTCCATCATCCATTAGACCTGCTTTAGACCTGCTTTAGTCCTGCTTTAGTCCTTCTTTGGTCCTGCTTTGGTCTTGTTTAGACCTGGTTTAGTCCTTCTTTAGTCCTGGTTTAGTCCAGTCTTGGATCTTCTCAGTGACTTTGTGCACGTCTCTAGAAACTGACCAGATATTTCCAGAAGAGATCCAAAACCAGGACTGAACCAGGACTAAATCAGGTCTAAACCAGGACCAAACCAAGACCAAACCAGGACCAAACCAGGACCAAGCCAAGACTAATAGAGGATAATTGATGACTCAAATTTGGCCTCCATTTCATTTTAAAGTTGCGTTTTTAGCTCCGCCTCCTGGGTCGGTAGCCCCGCCCCTTGATGACATCACAGCTGACGTCACATGACCCCTGAGGTTTAGTCCCGGTTCAGTCCTGAGGGTCCAACATCCAGGGACCAGGATCTTTGGGGAAAACCTCACAGCGGCATCTCTCTGGACCAAACCGGGATGAACCAGGTCTCCACCAGGTCTAAACCAGGTCTCAACCAGGTCTCAACCAGGTCCAAACCAGGTCCAAACCAGGTCTAAACTTGGACTAAACTTGGTCTAAACGTAGACTAGAGCAGGACGGGTTCTCGGGCTCCTGGGGCCGGTGGCTGGGGGCCGGTTAAGGGCTTCAGGGACTGAGCCTCGCTGGATGTTTGAGTCGTCTAGATTTTTTACTTTGACTTTTGTTGGACTTTTCAAACACTTTAAACATTTTAAACATTTTAAATCTTTTTAAAATTATTTTTTTCTCAGAGGTTCTGCGTGTGCGTCGGCTGGAACAGTCTCTCTGGATTTCACTTCAAAACGGAGCCACTTTTTAACACATTTAAAACACGTTATTTATTTCACTGTTTTTTAATCAAATCTTTGCTTCATTTTGTCTTTTTAACATTTTTGTTTCATCATTTTTTGAGTGAGACCTGCTCCAGACGAGCAGCAGCTCACACTCACGGCCTTTTATCAAACAGATTTCTTATTTTTATTTAAAATATTTGTACAGATTTTTTTTTTAGATTTCCCGTCTTTTCGTCCTCTTTTCTCCAGACCAGCGCAGGTTCCTGCAGCTGAAGAATTCTTTTGGGAAAACTCTCGTTGTCTTTTAATTTTTATCATTTCACAAAATTTCACCAAAATCTGCATTTTTTTAATTATAATTATATTCCAGAATTTCCTGTGGAGGAGCAGCGTGGAGGTTTTGTCCTTTTTTAAAAATTGTATCTGTATTTTCTGAGACCATCCCATTTCTGGAAAATTATCCAATTTAAAAGAAATTGAATGTTTTATATTCCTTTAAAATTACAATGATATTTTTTTGCTCAAACTGGTGACTGTCTTTTCATTTCCACTTTTCTCATTTGATTATTTTAAAAGAGCTCAGACACGGACGCTCGGCTCACACGGACCAAAAGCTGCAGCCTCTAGTTTTTCTCTCATTCCTCAGGTTTTTTCTTTTTGTTTTTTGCTCTTTCTCATTTTTCCTCTGAAACTGATTTCTGTTTTGTTCATTTTTCCTTCACAAAAATCAAGTCTTTTTTGGACAAAACTCTTTTTTAATTTTTTATTTTTTTTTTGCGTAAATCCAAACTCCGCCGCTCGGACTCTGACCCTGCTCTGGAGTCCTGCTTCAGTTTCACTTGTTTCTCTTCAGACTTTTTTTTTTTTCCCCCAGTAAAAAGATCCAAAACCTTTTTGTTTTCTTCACATGTTTGAGCTTCTGTTTCTCTCAACATCTTCTTCTCCTCAAATCACTTTTGGTCACAGATTTTACAGAAATTCTTTTTTTATCTGATGTTTTCCTTTTAAATTTTTAAATAAAATTCTCAGTGTTTTCAAATTTTTTTCTTCCCTAAAGTTTAAAACTTTTTTCTGTTTATTTTTCATGTTTTTGCCGCTCTGATCTTTCCGGGTCCAGTTTGGTCTCTTCTCCTGGTTCTGATCTTGATCCTGGTCTTTCTCTGGTCTCTAGTCCTGGTCTTGATCCAGGTCTTGATCCAGGTCTTGATCCAAGTCTTGGTCCAGGTCTTGGTCCAGGTCTTGGTCCAGGTCTTGGTCCAGGTCTTGACATGTTTTCGGTGCCAGAGCCTGTGTCTCGAGGCGTCTCGTCTCTGAAAGAGGAGCCTCTGAGCGTTCGCTCCTGGATGCACTCCAGCGGAGTCCTGGACTCCAACACGGCCATGCAGAGGTAAGGATTATTATATTTATATTAGATTATATTTAAATGACATGTACACGCTTTATATACGCTTTATATACACATTTATACACGGACAGATCTTACACACACTCCAGCGGGTCCTGGACTCAAACTCAGAAATACAAAACAATTCACTAAACTCTTCATAATCACATGTAAATAAACTCACCTAAATAAATAACACGTATATATAAATGTAAATAAAAACATAACACACGTATATAAATGTAAATTAAAACATAAAAACATAACACACGTATATAAATGTATATAAATGTAAATAAAAACATAACACACGTATATAAATGTATATAAATGTAAATAAAAACATAACACACGTATATAAATGTATATAAATGTAAATAAAAACATAACACACGTATATAAATGTAAATAAAAACATAACACATGTATATAAATGTAAATAAAAACATAACACACGTATATAAATGTATATAAATGTAAATAAAAACATAACACACGTATATAAATGTATATAAATGTAAATAAAAAATGTAAAAAAACATAACACACGTATATAAATGTAAATAAAAACATAAACACACGTATATAAATGTATATAAATGTAAATAAAAACATAACACATGTATATAAATGTAAATAAAAACATAACACACGTATATAAATGTATATAAATGTAAATAAAAACATAACACACGTATATAAATGTAAATAAAAACATAACACACGTATATAAATGTATATAAATGTAAATAAAAACATAACACACGTATATAAATGTATATAAATGTAAATAAAAACATAACACACGTATATAAATGTATATAAATGTAAATAAAAACATAACACACGTATATAAATGTAAATAAAAACATAACACACGTATATAAATGTATATAAATGTAATAAAAACATAACACATGTATATAAATGTATATAAATGTAAATAAGAACATAACACAATGTTAATGTTGATAAAAACAATGGAGAGATAAAAGAACAAGTTTATTCTCAAGAATGAAAAGATAAACTGTCTAAACTCAGACTGAAGCGCATCACCCAAAAACAAAAGTCTCAGAGCGGCAGGATTCACTTTTATGTTATATTATTTTTTACAATATTATTTATAATATTAATGTTTAGTGAACAGAGAAACTGATTCAAATGTTCAGGTAAAAGTCACATGATTTAAAACATCTTCATGAAAATAAGTTGGTATAATTTAAAATGTGCATTTCATTAAAAATTATATAACTTTAAAGTCTGAGCTTTTAAAAGTTTTTTCTACATGTAAAATTACAGTAAATCAAACTTTTGTTTGATAAAAGACTGAACCTGCGCACATCCTTTTTTAAACTATTTTTTCTGTCAAACAGACTCTGAATTCATTTTATTATTATTATTATTATTATTATTATTATTATTATTATTATTATTATAATAATAATAATAATAATAATAATAATATATTTACAATAGTGTGAATAAGTTTTTCTCTTGTATGTTCAGTTTTGAACAACTCTGAAAATGTCATTTAAAAACTCAAATTGAAAATAACATTTCAGTTTTGTCTATTTGACAAATATAATAATATTCCTTTAAATCTGGTCCATAAAAATCACTGAATAACAAACATAAATCCATTAAATTTAAATTGAAAGAAAAGTGTAAAATGATCCAAACGAAGTTTCCAGAAATACAGCGACTCACGCCAAAGCCTCTCGCCAAAATCTTGCCGTGTTTCCGCCGTGAGTTTGTTTTTCATTTTCATTTCTGCGGCGTTCGGCTCCGTGAGAGAAAAGGAGGAGGGTCTGAGTGTGTGAGGAATATCCAGACTTAACCCCAGAGCATCTTGGGAAACAAAGTCCACTCCAAAGACAAGTGCAGGAGGCCCTTGCTCTCGCTTTAAACTCAGACCTTTTGGAGCTGGACGTGTTTGACCAGTTCAGGTTTTAAAGTGTGATTTTTTACAGACGATAAACAAAAATACTGAAGCTAATTTAGACCATTTAAAGCTCCAAAACATTTTAAATCTACAGAATGTTAAAGTCCTGATGTGCAGTAAAAAACAGCAGAAGACTTTTATTTATTTTTTAAATGAGCTAAAATCTGATGAAACTCACAAAAACAATGAACTGCCATAAAATCCAGATCCAGAGACAAGCTCCAGTCTCCAAACACCCCCACGTGTGGGAGGGCATCTGACACACCCCAGCATCTGACACACCCCGGCATCTGACACACCCCGGCATCTGACACACCCCAGCATCTGACACACCCCACATCTGACACACCCCAGCATCTGACACACCTCAACATCTGACACACCCACAACACACCAGCATCTGACACACCCAACATCTGACACACCCCAACATCTGACACACCCCAGCATCTGACACAACACTCACACACATCTGACACACCCCAGCATCTGACACACCCCGGCATCTGACACACCCCGGCATCTGACACACCCATCACATCTGACACACCCCGGCATCTGACACACCCCACATCTGACACACCCCAACATCTGACACACCCCAACATCTGACACACCCCAACATCTGACACACCCAGCATCCACACACATCTGACACACCCCAACATCTGACACACCCCAACATCTGACACACCCCAGCATCTGACACACCCCAACATCTGACACACCCCAACATCTGACACACCCCAACATCTGACACACCCCAGCATCTGACACACCCCAACATCTGACACACCCCAACATCTGACACACCCCAACATCTGACACACCTCAACATCTGACACACCCAAGCATCTGACACACCCCATCTGACACACCCCAACATCTGACACACCCCAGCATCTGACACACCCCAACATCTGACACACCCCAACATCTGACACACCCCAACATCTGACACACACCCCACATCTGACACACCCCCATCTGACACACCCCAACATCTGACACACCCCAACATCTGACACACCCACATCTGACACACCCCAACATCTGACACACCCCATCTGACACACCCCATCTGACACACCCCAACATCTGACACACCCCAACATCTGACATCTGACACACCCCACTGACACACACCCCAACATCTGACACACCCCAACATCTGACACACCCCAGCATCTGACACACCTCAACATGTGGGAGGGCATCTGACAGAGAAACACAACGTTAAATATTGAAATGTCACTCAGGACTCACAAAGCAAACAGCAAAACTATCTATTATTTACAAAAGATGAGGAACAGGGATAGTCCTGGTTTAGTCCTGGTTTAGTCCTGGTTTAGTCCTGGTTCAGTCCTGGTTTAGTCCTGGTTTAGTCCTGGTTTAGTCCTGGTTCAGTCCTGGTTTAGTCCTGGTTTAGTCCTGGTTTAGTCCTGGTTCAGTCCTGGTTTAGTCCTGGTTTAGGTCTGTGTGTGTATTATAAATGTGTGTGTATTTGTGTTACTATATTAATACTTGTACTTTGTGTATTTTCTCAGCGGTGCTCAGGTTTAATACTGAATATTGTACTACTGTTTATATTTGTACTTTTATAATAATACTTTGTGTACTTTGTGTACTTGCAGCGGCGTGGGTCTGGCCCGGGCGCACTTCGAGAAACAGCCGCCGTCGAATTTGAGGAAATCCAACTTTTTTCACTTTGTTTTGGCATTTTACGATCGTCAGGGGCAACCTGTCGAGATCGAGCGCACGGCGTACTGCGACTTCATCGAGAAGGACAAGGTACAAGTACACACAAGTACTGCATACGGTACACACGAGTACTGCATACAGTACACGCAAGTACTGCATACGGTACACACGAGTACTGCATACGGTACACACGAGTACTGCATACAGTACACGCAAGTACTGCATACGGTACACACGAGTACTGCATACGGTACACGCGAGTACTGCATACGGTACACACGAGTACTGCATACAGTACACGAAGTACTGCATACGGTACACACGAGTACTGCATACAGTACACGCGAGTACTGCATACGGTACACACGAGTACTGCATACGGTACACACGAGTACTGCATACGGTACACACGAGTACTGCATACGGTACACACGAGTACTGCATACGGTACACACGAGTACTGCATACGGTACACACGAGTACTGCATACGGTACACACGAGTACTGCATACGGTACACACGAGTAGTGCATACGGTACACACGAGTACTGCATACGGTACACACGAGTACTGCATACGGTACACACGAGTACTGCATACGGTACACACGAGTACATACGGTACATACTGCATACGGTACACACGAGTACTGCATACGGTACATACACGGTACACACGAGTAGTGCATACGGTACACACGAGTACTGCATACGGTACACACGAGTACGGCATACGGTACACACGAGTACTGCATACGGTACACACGAGTAGTGCATACGGTACACACGAGTACTGCATACGGTACACAGGAGTACTGCATACAGTACACACGAGTACTGCATACGGTACACACGAGTACTGTACGGCATACTGCATACGGTACACACGGTACGTACCACGAGTAGTGCATACGGTACGAGTACACGGTACACAAGTAGTGCATACTACTGCATACGGTACACAGTAGTACGGTACACACGAGTACTGCATACGGTACACACTACACGAGTAGTGCATACGGTACACACGAGTACTGCATACGGTACTACACACACGAGTACTGCATACGGTACACAGTACATACGAGAGTATACTGCATACGGTACACGAGTACTGCATATGGTCCACACGAGTACTGATACAGTACACACGAGTACTGCATACAGGGTCAGGGTTAGACATACAGGACACCAGCACCATGTTTTAGGACAAAGCTCAGAGCCTAACAGACGTGTTACTCACACTCTGCTCCAAATGAAGCTCATTGAGGTCAGCAGTTACAGCTCCAAATGAAGCTCACTGAGGCCAGCAGTTACTGCTCCAAAGTTGGAACTGAGATTTATTTCAACACAAAATGTTGAAATTCAAACTTCTGGATCATGAAGAGCAGCTTCAGAATGAGGAGAGGCTGTGCTTTTTACACAAACTGAACTGGAGCCAGAGTCCATGGAGCCCAAACACGCCCATGAACACTTCCTGTTTGGAGCAAGACAGGTTAGAGCATTAGCATATTTGCGGTTAGCTCTGTCACAGATATAAACACAAATAAAACACAAATATAAACACAAATATAAACACAAATAAAAACACAAATAAAAACACAAATAAAAACACACAAATATAAACACAAATAAAAAACACAAATATAAACACAAATATAAACACAAATAAAAACACAAATAAAAACACAAATAAAAACACAAATAAAACACAAATAAAAACACAAATATAACACACAATAAAACACAAATATAACACAATAAACACACAAATATAAAACACAAATAAAAACACAAATAACAAACAATAACAAACACAAATAAAAACACAAATAAAAACACAAATATAAACACAAATAAAAACACAAATATAAAACACAAATAAAAACACAAATAAACACAAATAAAAACACAAATATAAACACAAATATAAACACAAATAAAAACACAAATAACAAACACAAATAAAAACACAAATATAAACACAAATAAAAACACAAATATAAACACAAATAAAACACAAATAAAAACACAAATATAAACACAAATAAAAACACAAATAAAAACACAAATAAAAACACAAATAAAAACAAAACAAATAAAAACACAAATAAAAACACAAATAAAAACACAAATAAAAACACAAATAAAAACACAAATATAAACACAAATAAAAACACAAATATAAACACAAATATAAAACACAAATAAAAACACAAATATAAACAGAGACGTAAACACAGATATAAAGAGTCTGTGGGACTTTGTGATTCTGACACAAATAAAAGTGTTTGTGTTTCAGGAGGTGAGCGGAGAAAAGACCAACAACGGAATCCACTACAGACTCCAACTGCTCTACAGCAACGGTACTACTACTACTACTACTACTACTACTACTACTACTACTACTACTACTACTACTACTACTATAGTACTATAGTATTACCACTACTACTACTACTACTACTACTACTACCTCTATAGCACTATAGTACTTCTACTACTACTACTTCTATAGTACTATAGTACTTCTACTACTACTACTTCTATATCACTCACACAAATACATTCACATTCTAATATTTAAATGTGGGTCAAATGTTTTTTTAAACTTTCTTTTGTTTCAGGCGTTCGGACGGAGCAGGACGTGTACGTGCGCCTCATCGACTCTATGACCAAACAGGTCTGTGTAACCCTGACCCCTGACCCCTGACTCTTGACCCCTGACCCCTGAACACAGACTCTTTATATAAATGGACCATGGATCTATTAAAATAACTGGATACAGTATTTCTGCTTGTAGCTGCCTCCAGTTGACGTAGTGACACTCACTGGTTCTACTGCGGAAAATAGAGCACGATGTAACCACAAACTGCTCGTGTTCGTCTGACAGGGACCTACAACTTTCAAAAATTCAGGATTTTGTGGCGATTTTTACCTATTTTTAGATCATACACTTTTTCTCAGCTCAAAATCCTTCAGTTGTCTTAACAAACGTTTTATAATCGTTCCTCCTCTCGCTCTGATTGGTCAGAGCGATCACGTGATAAACAAGCCTGCGCTCCATGCGTGCGTTCGCATGCATTCACTCGTACCCGCGGGAGAAAAGACTCTACTGCACATGCTCGGTCGGCCCACAGACACCGGAAGAACCTCACCGGGCTAAAGGCGAATCTGGGATCATGCTCCATTGAGCTCGGTCCATTGACTTGAATGGGCGGCCATTTTGGAACCTGGGGGATTGAAATGGACAAAGCTGATGCTGTAGCTGCCGTGTTCCAAACAGGAAGTGTTTATGGTGGCTCTTCTGGCTCCTTCTGGCTCTACGGGGATGTTGTGGCTCGTGTCTCTGGACCTGCTGCTCTGAGCCTCAGTTTGGGCTGAGATGTTTGTATTTCTCTGACACAGGATCCTGGGGTTTCACTTCAACATCTTAGCTGCGTTCAGATGCACCTGAAGTGACCCAAATCAGATTTTTTGTCTCTATGTTCCTGTATCTGATCTTTTAATGTCGTCTGAACGGCACAGATCCGATTTTTTCAAATGTGACCCAGGACACTTGGATATGTGCTCCTGAAACTGATACATATCTGATCTTTTGACATGTGACTTCAGTGTGAACGGCCAAAGTGCATTCATCCACCTACACGTTATCAACAAGACACAAACGTCACTATTCTGCACTGAAGTCGGCGAAAATTGTTAATAAACTCCGTGTCACTGAAGTGAAGCACATCTCCACTCACCACTCTTGGCTCCGTCTCCACATCCACATGTTCCTTTCAACGGACTGAACCACAAAACACCACGACCAAAAACCTCGTCCTTCTTCTTCTCAATCTCCTCCTTAAAACAAGTAAGTTGTTCATGTTCTGGCTCCGGTCGCTGCGGTTGACGTCCTCGTGTCTCCAGTGTCACATGTGGGACACTTTCGGGCCGTTTAATGTTCACACTGGAGACACATACAAGTCGCATTTAATTGGAAATGTGAACGACCTCGCAAAAACATCGGATTTCACAAAAAAATCGGAATTGAGCGTTAAACCCTGCAGTCTGAACGTAGACTTTGTCAGTCAAAAAAATCCTGCTACTGATAAAAGCCTGAGCCTGTGAGCGCAGGCCTCAGTGAGCTTCATTTGACTGGAGCTGAACTCTGTGGTGACGTTACTCAGTCCACTTCATGTACAGACTATGATCTGACCTCTGACCCCTGACCCCTACCCTCTGACCCCTGACCCCTGACCTCTGACCCTAACAGGTCTATTCATCTGGACATCCAACCCTGAAGTCCACACCAAATGTTTACTCTCCTCCTCTTCCTCTCCTCCTCTTCCTCTCCTCCTCTTTGTCTCCTCCTCTTCCTCTCCTCCACTTCCTCTCCTCTTCCTCTCTTCTCTCTCCTCTCCTCCACTTCCTCTCCTCTTCCTCTCCTCCTCTTCCTCTCCTCTTCCTCTCCTCTCCTCTTCTCTCCTCTTTCTCTCTCCTTCTTCCTCTTCCTCTCCTCCTCTTCCTCTCTCTCCTCTCCTCCTCTTTGTCTCCTCCTCTTCCTCTCCTCCTCTCCTCCTCTTCCTCTCCTCCTCTTCCTCTCCTCCTCTTTGTCTCCTCCACTTCCTCTCCTCTTCCTCTCCTCCTCTTCCTCTCCTCCTCTTTGTCTCCTCCTCTTCCTCTCCTCCTCTTCGTCTCCTCCTCTTCCTCTCCTCCTCTTCCTCTCCTCCTCTTCCTCTCCTCCTCTGTTCCCTTTCTCTTCTTTTCTGCAGCCCATCATTTACGAGGGGCAGGATAAAAACCCAGAAATGTGTCGTGTTCTTCTGACTCATGAGATAATGTGCAGGTAAAACACTGTGTGTGTCTGTCTGTCTGTGTCTGTGTGTCAGTGTGTGTGTGTGTGTGTGTGTCAGTGTATGTGTGTGTGTGTGTGTGTGTGTCTGTGTGTCTGTGTCTGTGTGTCAGTGTGTGTGTGTCTGTGTGTGTGTGTGTGTGTGTGTGTGTGTGTGTCTGTGTGTGTGTGTCTGTGTGTGTGTGTGTGTGTGTGTGTGTGTGTGTGTGTCTGTGTGTCTGTGTGTGTGTGTGTGTGTGTGTGTGTGTGTGTGTCTGTGTGTGTGTGTGTGTGTGTGTGTGTGTGTGTGTCTGTGTGTGTGTGTGTCTGTGTGTGTGTGTGTGTGTCAGTGTGTGTGTGTGTCTGTGTGTCTGTGTGTCAGTGTATGTGTGTGTGTGTGTGTGTGTTGTGTCTGTGTGTGTCTCTGTGTGTGTGTGTCTGTGTCTGTGTGTCTGTGTGTGTGTGTGTGTGTCTGTGTGTCTGTGTGTGTGTGTGTGTGTGTGTGTGTGTCTGTGTGTCTGTGTGTCTGTGTGTGTGTGTGTGTGTGTGTCTGTGCGTGTGTGTGTGTGTGTGTCTGTGTGTGTCTGTGTGTGTGTGTGTGTGTGTGTGTGTGTGTGTGTGTGTGTGTGTCTGTGTGTGTGTGTGTGTCTGTGTGTGTGTGTGTGTGTGTGTGTGTGTGTGTGTGCTGTGTGTGTGTGTGTGTGTGTGTGTGTGTGTGTGTGTGTGTGTGTGTGTGTGTGTGTGTGTGTGTGTGTGTGTCTGTGTGTGTGTGTGTGTGTGTGTGTGTGTGTGTGTGTGTGTGTCTGTGTGTGTGTGTGTGTGTGTGTGTGTGTGTGTGTGTGTGTGTGTGTGTGTGTCTGTGTGTGTGTGTGTGTGTGTCTGTGTGTGTGTGTCTGTGTGTGTGCTGTGTGTGTGTGTGTGTGTGTGTGTATTTAGTCTAAATTATTTAAAATATGTGTGTTTTTTTTGTTTTGTTTTTTCAGTCGTTGTTGTGATAAAAAAAGCTGCGGAAACAGAAACGAGACGCCGTCTGACCCGGTCATCATCGACAGGTCAAATACTCAAATATTTATCATTTATACTACTTATACTACTACTACTACTACTACTACTACTACTACTACTACTACTACTACTAATACCACTAATGTTACTACCACAGTACCTGTGCTCTGTACTTGTGTGTGTTTGTTTTCAGTTTGTTCTGGTCCTACTCTCACCTATGGTCCTGGTTCTGTCCTCTCATTTCCTCCCCTCATCCATCCCCTTCCCTCTCTCCCTCTTTCCCTCTTTCCCTCTCTCCTTCTCCCTCTCTCCCTCTCTTCACCCAGTCCCGTCTCTCGTCTTTCACTGAAGCTTCTTTTCGTTTCTTTTCTTTTTTCTCTTGTCAGGTTCATTTAAGCTGATTTGCAGCAGCTGCTCTCGTCCAATCAGAACGCAGCATTTTATTAAACGCTCATCTTCATTAAAACCGAGAGTCGGACCCAAGAAACCAAGAACTCTGGTCCTGGTTTAGTCCTGGTTCAGTCCTGGTTCAGTTCTGGTTTAGTCCTGGTTCAGTCCTGGTTCAGACCTGGTTTAGTCTGGTTCAGTCCTGGTTTAGACCTGGTTTAGTCCTGGTTCAGTTGGTTTAGTCTGGTTTAGTCCTGGTTTAGACTGGTTCAGTCCTGGTTCAGTCCTGGTTTAGTCCTGGTTTAGACCTGGTTTAGTTCTGGAGATGAGAGAAGTAGAGAAAGTGTGTGAATAAAGAGGAGGAGGTTAGTTATATAGTTATAATACTTTATACTACTGTGCACGTGTGTCTGTGTGTGTGTCTGTGTGTGTGTGTGTGTGTGTGTGTGTGTGTGTGTGTGTGTGTGTGTGTGTGTGTGTGTGTGTGTGTGTGTGTGTGTGTGTGTGCGTGTGTGTGTCTCTGTCAGAGCCGTAAATCCCAATCACATTTTCTGCCTCATGGAGCTTAATAACTCCACACCACTCCATTATAGACAGTGCACGAGACAGTGCACGAGACAGTGCACGAGACAGTGCACGAGACAGTGCACGAGACAGTGCACGAGACAGTGCACGAGAATCCAGTTTTGGTTTCACTCCTGGTCGTGGTCCTGGTTTGGTCTCAGTCCCAGTCTCAGTCCTGGTCTCAGTCCTGGTTTGGTTCAGTCCTGGTCTCAGTCCTGGTCTCAGTCCTGGTCTGTCTCAGTCCTGTTCAGTCTGGTCTCAGTCCTGGTTTGGTTCAGTCCTGGTCTCAGTCCTGGTCTCAGTCCTGGTCTCAGTCCTGGTTTGGTTCAGTCCTGGTCTCAGTCCTGGTCTCAGTCTGGTTCAGTCCTGGTCTCAGTCCTGGTCTCAGTCCTGGTCTCAGTCCTGGTCTGGTCTTGTTTGTGTTTCAGGTTTTTCCTGAAGTTCTTCCTGAAGTGTAACCAGAACTGTCTGAAGAACGCGGGAAACCCGAGAGACATGAGGAGGTTCCAGGTACTGCACCTGCCACACCTGCCACACCTGTCACACCTGCTGCACCTGTCACACCTGCCACACCTGTCACACCTGTCACACCTGCTGCACCTGCCACACCTCACAGAAATCAAACACAGGGTTAGATATGGACAGGGTCACATGAGGTGAGACCTCCTCCTCCTCTCCTCTTCTCTCCTCCTCTTCTCTCCTCCTCTCCTCTCCTCCTCTCTCCTCCTCTCCTCCTTCCTCCTCTCTCCTCCTCCTCTCCTCTCCTCCTCTCTCCTCCTCTCCTCTCTCTCTCCTCTCCTCTCTCTCTCTCCTCCTCCTCCTCCTCCTCCTCCTCTCCTCTCTCTCTCTCTCTCCTCCTCTCCTCTCTCTCCTCTCTCTCTCTCTCTCTCTCTCCTCTCTCCTCTCCTCTCCTCTCCTCCTCTCTCCTCTCCTCTCCTCTCCTCTCCTCTCTCTCTCTCTCTCTCTCCTCCTCTCCTCTCTCTCCTCTCTCTCCTCTCTCTCTCTCTCCTCTCTCCTCTTCTCCTCCTCTCCTCTCTCTCCTCCTCCTCTCTCTCCTCTCTCCTCTCTCCTCTCCTCTCTCTCCTCTCCTCTCTCTCCTCCTCTCTCTCTCTCCTCTCTCTCCTCTCTCTCTCTCTCCTCTCTCCTCCTCCTCCTCTTCTCTGCCTCTCCTCTCCTCCTCTCTCCTCTCTCCTCTCCTCCTCCTCTCTCCTCTTCTCTCCTCCTCTCCTCTCTCTCTCCTCCTCTCTCCTCTCCTCTCTTCCTCCTCTCTTCTCTTCTCTTCTCCCCTCCTCCTCTCTTCCTCCTCTCCTCTCTTCTCTCTTCTCTCCGTCCTGTTTGTCGTTTAAAGTCTGATATTTTTGCTCATTCTGTTTTTCAGACTCAATAAAACGATAAGAGAAAAAAGGATCAGATCCGTCGTTTCCATTAAACCTGACGAGGCTTCACTCGCTCACGCCATCCATCACTGTCAGACGAGTGAACGGCGTGAACGAGGGAGGGGGGGGGAGGAGAGAGAGAGAGAGAGAGAGAGGGAGAATAAAGGACAAACAGATCAAATATTTAATATGACGTCACCTTCTTCATTCACAAATAAATTTTTTCCATTATTTTCTCTTCCCCCCTTTTTTTTTCAAAATCTTTGTTTTGATTCAGTTTGACTAAAACTGATCCTGAACTTTAACACTAACCTTCCTCCTCCTCCTCTCTTCTTCTTCTCTTCCTCCTCCTCCTCCTCCTCCTCTCTCTCTCTCTCTCTCTCTTCTCTCTCTCCTCCTCCTCCTCTCTTCTTCTTCTCTCTCTCTCCTCCTCCTCCTCCTCCTCCTCCTCTCTTCTTCTTCTCTCTCTCCTCCTCTCCTCCTCTCTTCTCTCCTCCTCTCTTCTTCTTCTCTTCCTCCTCCTCCTCCTCCTCCTCTCTTCTTCTCGTCCTCTTCCTCCTTTTCCTCTTCTCTTCCTCCCCCTCCTCTTCTCTTCCTCTTCTCCTCCTCCTCTTCTCTTCCTCTTCTTCTCCTTCTCTTCCTCTTCTCTCCTCTCCTCTTCCTCTTCTCTCCTCCTCCCTCCTCCTCCTCCCTCCTCTTTCTCTCTCCTCCTCTTCCCTCTCCTCCTCTCTCTCTCCTCTCCTCTCTCTTCCTCCTCTTCCTCTCCTCCTCCTCCTCTCTTCCTCTCCTCCTCCTCCTCCTCTTCCTCTCCTCCTCTCCTCCTCCTCCTCCTCTTCCTCCTCCTTTCGTTGCTGTTCCGTTCTCGTCCTGTAGGTGGTGGTATCGACCACAGTGAACGTCGATGGTCACGTTTTGGCCGTGAGCGACAACATGTTCGTCCACAACAACTCCAAACACGGGCGCCGCGCTCGCCGCCTCGACCCGTCCGAAGGTCAGACTCCAAACACACAACCCAAACACAACCCAAACACACAACCCAAACACACAACCCAAACACACAACCAAACACACACACCCAAACACACAACCCAAACACACAACACAACAACAACAAACACAAACACACAAACACACAACCCAAACACACCCAAACACACAACACACAAACACACAACACCAAAAACACACAACCCAAAACACACAACCCAAACACACAACCAAACACACACACACACACACAAACAAAACACAACCCAAACACACAACCCAAACACACAACCCAAACACACAAACCCAAAACACACAAACCCAAACACACAAACCCAAACACACAACCCAAACACACAACAAACACACAACGAAACACACAACCCAAACACACAACCCAAAACACACAAACCACAAACACACAACCAAACACACAACCCAAACACACAACCCAAACACACAACAGACACACAACAACACAACCCACACACAACCCAAACACACAACCCAAACACACACCCACAAAACACACAACCCAAACACACAACCCAAACACACAACCAAACACACAACCCAAACACACAACACAAAACACACAACCCAAACACACAAACACACAACAACAACAGAAACACACAACCAAACACACAACAGAAACCACAACACACACAGAAACACACAACCCAAACACACAACCCAAACACACAAACACACACAACCCAAACACACAAACACCAAACACACAACCCAACACACAACACACAACCCAACACACAACCCAAACACACAACCCAAACACACACACACACAACCCAAACACACAAACCCAAAACACACAAAACACACAAACACACAACACAGAAACACACAACCCAAACACACAACCCAAACACACAACAAACACAAACACACAACCCAACACAACAACACAAACAAACACACAACAGAACAAACACACAAACCCAAACACACAACAGAAACACACAACCCAAACACCAAACAAACACACAACCAAACACACAACAAACCACAAACACACAACCCAAACACACAAACCCAACACCACACAAACACACAAACACACAACCCAAACACACAACAGAACACACAACAGACAACAACACACAACAGAAACACACAACCCAAAACACACAAAACACACAAAACACACAACACACAACCCAAACACACAACAAACAGAAACACACAACCCAAACACACAACAGAAACCACACAACAACACACAACCCAAACACACAAACAAACACCGAAACACACAACCAAACACACAACAGAAACACACAACCCAAACACACAACCCAAACACACAACAGAAACAAACACACAAACAGAAACACACAACCCAAACACACAACAACACAACAACACACACACCCAAACACACAACAGAAACACACAACCCAAAACACACAACAGAAACACACAACCCAAACACACAAACACACAACACAAACCCAAACACACAACACACAACCCAAACACACAACCAAACACACAACCCAAACACACAACAGAAACACACAACCCAAACACACCAAACAACACAAAAACACACACAACACACACAGAAACACACAACCACACAACCCAAACACACAACAGAAACACACAACNCTCCTCCTCCTCCTCCTCTCTTCTTCTCTCTTCTTCCTCCTCCTCCTCCTCCTCCTCCTCCTCTCCTCTTCTTCTCTTCCTCCTCCTCCTCTCTTTCTTCTTCTCTTCTCCTCCTCCTCCTCCTCCTCCCTCTCTCTCTTCTCCTTTCCTCCTTTCCTCCTCCTCCTCCTCCTCCTCTCTCTCTCCTCCTTCCTCCTTCCTCTCTCCTTCCTCTTCTCTTCCTCTTCTCTCCTCTCTCCTTCTCTCTCTCCTCCTCTCTCTCCTCCTCTCTCCTCCTCTCTCCTCCTCTCTCCTCCTTCCTCTTCCTCCCTCCTCCTCCTCTCCTCCTCCTCTCCTCCTCCTCCTCCTCCTCCTCCCTCCCTCCTCTCCTCCTCTCCTCCTCCTCCTCCTCTTCCTCTCCTCTCTCCTCCTCCTCCTCCTCTCCTCCTCCTCCTCCTCCTCCTCCCTCTCTCCTCTCTCCTCCTCCTCCTCCTCCTTTCGTTGCTGTTCCGTTCTCGTCCTGTAGGTGGTGGTATCGACCACAGTGAACGTCGATGGTCACGTTTTGGCCGTGAGCGACAACATGTTCGTCCACAACAACTCCAAACACGGGCGCCGCGCTCGCCGCCTCGACCCGTCCGAAGGTCAGACTCCAAACACACAACCCAAACACACAACCCAAACACACAACCCAACACACACACACAACCCAAACCACACACACAACACACAAACACACAACACCAAACACACAACACACAAACACAACCAAACACACAACCAAACCAACAGAAACACACAACCCAAACACACAACCCAAACACACAACCAAACACACACAACACACAACCCAACACACACAAACACACAACCCAAACACACAACCCAAACACACAACCCAAACACACAACCCAAACACACAAACACACAACCCAAACACACAACAGAAACACACAACCCAAACACACAACCCAAACACACAACAGAAACACACAACCCAAACACACAACCCAAACACACAACCCAAACACACAACAGAAACACACAACCCAAACACACAACCCAAACACACAACAGAAACACACAACCCACACACAACCAAACACACAACACACAACAACCCAAACACACAACCCAAACACACACCCAAACACAACAAACACACAACCCAAACACACAACCCAAACACACAAACACAAACACACAACACAAACAAACAACAAACACAAAACCCAACACACACCAACACCAAACACACACAACCAAACACACACCCAAACACACAACCCAAACACACAACCCAAACACACACCCAAACACACAACCCAAACACACACAAACCACAAACACACAACCCAAACAAACAAAACACAAACAAACACACACAACAACACACACAACCCAAACACACAACCACAACACACAACAGAAACACACAACCAAACACAACCCAAACACACAACCCAAACACAAAACAACCCAAAACACACAACCCAAACACACAACCCAAACACACAACAGAAAACACACAACCCAACACACAACCCAACACACAACCCAAACACACAACAAAACACACAACCCAAACACACAACCCAAAACACACAACACACACACAACCAAACACACAACAGAAACACACACCCACACACAACCCAAACAAACAAAAACACAACCAAACACACAACCCAAACACACAACAGAAACACACAACCCAAACACACAACCCAAACACACAACCAAACACACAACCCAAACACACAACAGAAACACACAACCACAAACACACACACAGAAACACACAAACCCAAACACACAACCCAAACACACAACCCAAAACACACACACCAAACACACAACACACACAAACACACAACCCAAACACACAACCAAACACACAACAAAACCACACAAACACAAACACACACAGAAACACACAACAAAACACACAACAGAAACACACAACCCAAACACACAACAGAAACACACAACCCAAACACACAACCCAAACACACAACCCAAACACACAAACACACAAAACACACAACAGAAACACACAACCCAAACACACAACCAAACACAACAACACAAACACACACCCAAACACACACACACACAACCCAAACACACAACCCAAACACACAACAGAAACACAAACCCAACACACAACCCAAAACACAACAGAAACACACAACCCACAAACACACAACCCAAACACAACCAAACACACAACCAAACACACAAACAGAAACACACAACCCAAACACACAACAGCAAACACACAACCCAACACACAACCCAAACACACAACCCAAACACAATTCGAAACATGCCCAGCGTCCTCACTTTCGGCACCTGGCAGGTTTGACCCAGACACACTGATGGGTCAAATGTAGAGTTTAGGCAAGGCAAGTTTATTTGTGTAGCACAATTCATACACAAAGTAATTCAAAGTGCTTTACAGAATAAGAAACACAATAAAATCATACTAAAAACAAATCAAAACATAAATAATCATGAAGCTTAAAATTAAAAAAGAGAGACATAAATTGGAGAGAAGAGTGCGGAATGAAAACCTTTCAGTTATTTGCACAGTTAAACAGAAATGTTTAGAGTCTGGATTTAAACAGCGTCACAGAAGAGTCTGTCTCACATGTTCAGACTGTTCCAGGTTTTAGCTGCATGAACCTGAAACTCTGACTCCCCTTGTTTAGTCGTGACTCTGGGCACCAGCAGGAGTTGGTCCCTGAGCTCCTCAGAGTGTGAGATGTTCATGTGACACTAACATGTCACAGATGGACTTTGGTGCTCGGCCATGGAGACACTTGTACAAGCAGAGCTGCTTTAAAATCTCTGAGCCACAGGAGCCAGAGCAGAGACCTGAGACCAGGACTTATGTGCTCGTACTTCCTAGTTCGAGTCAGGACCCGAGCTGCAGCGTTCTGGATGTTCTGGATGTTCTGGATGTTCTGGACGTTCTGGATGTTCTGGATGTTCTGGATGTTCTGGATGTTCTGGATGTTCTGCAGCGTCTCACAGCTCGTTTGGAGAGACCAGTGAGCAGAACATTACAGTATCTAACCTACTGGAGACAAACGCATGGATAAGTTTCTCCAAGTCTGATTTAGACAGTAAACCTTTGATTTTTGCTATGTTTTTTAGATGGTAAAAGGCTGCAGATGTTATTGATTTGATGTGGCTGTTAAAGTTCAAGTCTGAGTCCATTATTACCCCGAGATTTCTTGCCTGATTTGAAGGTTTTAGAGAGAGAGACTGGAGGTGATGCTGACACTGTCCCTTTGTTTCTGTGGACCAAACACTATGACTTCAGTCTTGTCAGAGTTTAGCTGGAGAAAGTTGTTTTGCATCCACACACTGATCTGTTGGATGCAGTGACCAAGTGACTCCACTGGTCCATAGTCTCCTGCTGCCAGAGAGACGTAGATCTGAGTGTCGTCTGCATAATTGTGGTAGGACACGTTATTGCTGCTTATTAACTGGCCTGTAGGGGGCAGCATGTAGAGATTGAACAACAGGGGGCCCAGGATTGACCCCTGAGGCACCCCACAGGTCAGGGCCATGTGATCTGAGACACAGTTTCCAATTTTAACAGAATACTTCCTGTCTTCTAGATTGGACTTGAACCAGTTTAGTACAGTACCAGAGATGCCCACCCAGTCCTCTAGTCTCTGTAAGAGGATCCATGATCGACAGTGTCAAAAGCAGCACTCAGATCTAACAGGATCAAGACTGAGACTTTGCCTGCATCAGTGTTCAGGCGGATGTCATTTGTCACCTTGATAAGAGCAGTCTCAGTGCTGTGGTGAGAGTTTAGACCTGGTTTAATCCTTGTTTAATCCTGGTTTGGTCCTGGTTTAGTTAAGGTTCTCGCAATAACTAAGGTGCGCCCGAGTAGACTGTCGGGTGACCGCAGGTGAAAGGACTGGTGTAGCTTTGCCGACACCTGCTCCGTGGGCTCGGGGTTCTCTCTCTCTCAAGTCCACGAGTACTCAACCTGGTGCAGGACTCTGACACGACCTGGTGCAGGACTCTGACACGACCTGGTGCAGGACTCTGACACGACCTGGTGCAGGACTCTGACTCTGACCTATGACCCGACCTGGTGCAGGACTCTGACACGACCTGGTGCAGGACTCTGACACGACCTGGTGCAGGACTCTGACATGACCCGACCTGGTGCAGGACTCTGACATGACCTGGTGCAGGACTCTGACACGACCTGGTGCAGGACTCTGACACGACCTGGTGCAGGACTCTGAGGACTCTGACATGACACGACCTGGTGCAGGACTCTGACCCGACCTGGTGCAGGACTCTGACACAACCTGGTGCAGGACTCTGACACGACCTGGTGCAGGACTCTGACACGACCTGGTGCAGGAGTCTGGTGCAGGACTCTGACACGACCTGGTGCAGGACTCTGACACAACCTGGTGCAGGACTCTGACTGACACAACCTGGTGCAGGACTCTGACACAACCTGGTGCAGGACTCTGACCCGAGTTGCCACATTGAGAGCTGAGAGATGCAGCGGCACAAATGTTACTTCTGCTACACTTTAGTCCTATTTTAGACCTGGTTTAGACTTGATTTAGGCCTGGTTTAGACCTGGTTTAGACACGGTTTAGACACGGTTTAGACCTGGTTTAGACCCGGTTTAGACCTGGTTTAGACTTGGTTTAGACCCAGTGTAGACTTGGTTTAGACCCGGTTTAGACCCGGTTTAGACCTGTTCTCTGTCTCTGCAGCAGCCACTCCGTGCATTAAGGCCATCAGTCCCAGTGAGGGCTGGACCACAGGGGGCGCTACAGTCATCCTCATCGGAGACAACTTCTTCGACGGCCTCCAGGTGGTGTTTGGAACCATGCTCGTGTGGAGCGAGGTGAGACCTGGTATAGTCCTGGTTTAGACCTGGTATAGTCCTGGTTTATTCCTGGTTCAATACTGGTTTAGTGCTAGTCCAGACCTGGTTTAGACTTGAGTCATCAAATTAAAAATCAGATCCTAACTGATTCTAAAACTAGTGTTTAAACTAGTTCCTCTTGTTTCTCAGGTCTGGATTCTAAACAAGTCAAATTGACAGGGCAGAGCAGAACCTCTAGAACCTTTAGAACCTTTAGAACCTTTAGAACCTTTAGAACCTTTAGAACCTTTCCTGAATGTGATTAGAATGATCTGGATCAGCGAACAAGTATAAGAGCACAGAGACGAGTATACGCCCATGGACCTGGTTTAGACCTGGTTTAGACCTGAAGCGCTGAGTCTTGAGTCGGGGTTTGTCCGTTGCAGCTGATCACACCTCACGCCATCCGAGTGCAGACTCCGCCCAGACACATCCCCGGGGTCGTGGAGGTCACGCTGTCCTACAAGTCCAAACAGTTCTGCAAAGGAGCTCCAGGGAGGTTTGTCTACACAGGTAAGAACTACAACTCCCCTGTGCCCTACACCCTAAACCCTACACCCTACCCTACATCCTAACCCCTACACCCTACACCCTAAACCCTACACCCTACATCCTAACCCCTACACCCTACAACCCTAAACCCTACACCCTACATCCTAACCCCTAACCCTTAAACCCTACACCCTATACACCCTACACCCTAACATCCTAACCCTTAAACCCTACACCCTACATCCTACACCCTAAACCCTGCACCCTACATCCTAACCCCTAACCCTTAAACCCTACACCCTAAACCCTATACCCTACACCCTACATCCTAACCCCTAACCCTTAAACCCTACACCTACACCCTACATCCTAACCCTTAAACCCTACACCCTAAACCCTACATCCTAACCCCTAACCCTTAAAACCTACTCCCTACATCCTAACCCCTAACCCTTAAACCCTACACCCTACATCCTAACCCCTAACCCTTAAACCCTACACCCTACATCCTAACCCCTAACCCTTAAACCCTACACCCTAAACCCTACATCCTAACTCCTATCTCCTACACCCTATCCCCTACACCTTACATCTTACATCCTATCCCCTACATCCTAACCCCTATACCCTAAACCCCATACCCTTCACCCTAACTCCTACATCCTAACCCCTACATCCTACAGCCTAAACCCTATATCCTACACCCTAAACCCTACACCCTACAGCCTAACCCCTACATCCTACACCCTAAGCCCTACACCCTAACCCAGGGGTCTCTTACCTGTAGCTCGGGAGTTAACTGGTGGCTCTCCTCCCCCCTTCCAAATCACTCACCTAAACTCTACACCCTACAACCTATTTCCTACATCCTATCCCCTACACCGTAAACCCTAAACTCTACACCCTACACCCTGTCCCCTATAACCTAACCCCTGGATCCTACACCATCCACCCTAAGCCCTACACCCTAATCCCTACACCCTATCCCTTACACCCTACTTCCTAACCCCTATACCCTGCACCCTATATCTTACACCATATTCCCTACATTCAAAACCCTACAACCAGAACCCTAACCCCTACATCCTACATCCTAACCCCTAACCCCTACATCCTATATCCTATCCCCTACTTCCTATCCCCTACACCCTCTCCACTAGACTCTTCACCCTACATCCTACACCCTATCCCCTACACCCTAACCCCTACATCCTATTCCTTACACCCTATGCCCTACACCCTACACCCTACTCCCTACATCCTATCCCCTACACCCTAAACCCCTACACCCTACTCCTATCCCCTCCACCCTAAACCCTAAACCCTACATCCTACACCTAAATCCTAACCCCTGCTCCAACCTGTAATAATGATGCATCAGTTTTACACGGCACTTTTCTGGACACTCAAAGACTCTACAAAGAAAAATACTATTGTAGCCACAGCTGCCCTGGGGCAGACTGATGGAACCAAGGCTGCCAATCTGCATCATCGGCCCCTCCCACCACCATCACTCACGCACACTCCACTTTCATACTAAGAAATGTGGGTTAAGTGTCTTGCCCAAGGACACAACAACAGTTTGGACTTGTTGAGCTTCGGACATCTGATGGGATCAGGCTTTGACAAACTGGTGTGGCCACAAACACGGCGCCTAAATCAGACAGACAGAAAACACGACTGCTCCCCCTCCTCCCTCCCTCCATCCATCCATCCTCCCTCTCTCTGTCTGTCCTCCTCTGTTCCTTCACTCTCTCTCGTGTTGTGACCTTCTTGTTGTTGTTGACAGTCGTGTGTTGAGTAAAACTCGTTTACAGCGTCTTTAAGTTCACCCTTAAAGGATCACTGCGTCTCATCTCCTCAAACACATCTATATGGAAATATGGATTCATATGAAAACGTGAACGGAGAGAGAGAAGGAGGGAGGAGAGGGAGAGAGGGAGGGAGCAGAGGGAGAGAGAGAAGAAGGGAAGAGAGGGAGAGAAGGAGGGAGGAGAGGACGGGGAGGAGAGGAAGAGGGAGGTGTAGTGAAGCCTGTGGTTGCTCAGGTGAAAACATGAGACTGTGAAGTTTATGACGTGAAGTCTTTTAAATCATGTTTATATTTTATATATTTTGTATATCTTATTTATATTAATATTTATATTTTATATTTATATTTGTTTCAGCTTTGAATGAACCGACCATTGACTACGGCTTCCAGAGACTCCAGAAAGTCATTCCCCGTCACCCGGGCGACCCCGAGAGACTGCCCAAGGTACAAGCACTACAAATACTACTACTACTACTACTACTACTACTACTACTACTACTACTACTACTACTACTACTACTACTACTTCTACTACTATTAGTAGGAGGAGCAGGGGGCTGTGTTCCTCTTGTTTCTGTTCTGCTCGACTGAACCTCGATTAAAAACCAGATAAAATCCACAAAAACACAAAAGCACAAAAACACAGATTAAAATCTGATGAGCTCAAGATTTACCGCTTTAATCTGAGGCCACTGTCGCCCACGGTTACACCTGGTCCAGTCCTGATTTAGTCCTGGTCCAGTCCTGGTCCAGTCCTGGTCCAGTCCTGGTCCAGTCCTGATTTAGTCCTGGTCCAGTCCTGGTCCAGTTCTGGTTCAGTCCTGGTTCAGTCCTGGTTCAGTCCTGGTCCAGTCCTGGATCTGTAGGTATTGTATGAGTGGGGGAGTTGTACGTGGGGGTTTGTGGTATTTTATATTTATTGTCTTTTGAATGGAGCTGTTTTATTTGTCGATGGTGGAGATAAAGATCCAATCAGCTTCTGCTCAGCTGTGACCGTCCAAATACTGCGCTGTGATTGGACGAAACATGTTCAAACAAAACACTGCACTTCATTAAGACTCCAGAACCAACGGACCGGATCAGAACCAACACGAACTGGATCAGAACCAACACAGGCCAGATCAGAACCAGAGAGGCAGCCATTCGGCTTTTTCAGTGCCAATACCGACATTCAAGATAGAGACCAGACCAGACCAGGAACCTGACCAGAAACCAGAGACCGGACCAGAGACCGGACCAGAGACCGGACCAGAGACCGACCAGACACCAGACCAGAGACCGGACCAGAGACCGGACCAGACACCAGACCAGAGACCGGACCAGAGACCGGACCAGAGACCGGACCAGAGGCTCCACTTGTGCTGGAGCTGTGTCCTTGTGTGACCACAGAACTGAGGAGTGGGAATAAAATCTAAACTATAAAAGTTCAAACTTCCAGAGACTTTCTGGGTCAAATGCAGCAAACAGTATTTTTACAACCAGGAAATTGACTCAGCCGCTCTGTTTCAGCAAATTTAGTCCTGGTTCAGTCCTGGTTTAGTCCTGGTTCAGTCCTGGTTTAGTCCTGGTTCAGTCCTGGTTTAGTCCTGGTTCAGTCTTGGCTCAGTTGATTAAAAGTCTTTGTTTGAGGAGGTTTAGAGATTATGGGATGTCACTGAACCAATTATTCCAGTCTGACACACGTGCACGCCCACGTGCACACACACGCACGCCCACGCCGCACGCACACACGCACACACACTGCACGCACACACACACACACACACACACACACACACACACGTGACTCAGTGAGAGGGACAAGGAGGTGATCCTGGTCTAGACCAGGTTTGGACCAGTGTAGCCCAGGTCTGAGGTCTCAGTCCTGGTTTAGTTTTGGTTTAGTCCTGGTTCAGTTCTGGTTCAGTCTTGTTGTAGTCCTGGTTTAGTCCTGGTTCAGATCCATGTAGTCTGTGCTCTGGGCCCCTCCTCCTCTTTTCTCTCTGGACTTTATCTAAATTAAACTCTTAATCTGCTTTTTCATTAAACACTTTTAATTAGACCTGTTTTAAATTAACTCTCAGCCTCCAGTGGACTGTGACCTCCCCCCCAGAATCTAACCCACAACCTCTACGCACAAACTAACGCACAACCCCCCCCCCCCAGAATCTAACCCACAACCTCTACGCACAAACTAACGCACAACCCCCCCCCCCCCCCAGAATCTAACCCACAACCTCTACGCACAAACTAACGCACAAACTAACGCACAACCTAACGCACAACCCCCCCCCCCCCCTGCCCCAGAATCTAACCCAAAACCTCTGTACGCACAATCTAACCCTGACGTCCTGGTGAGGGGGCGGGGCTAACATGGATCTGTTCAAATCCCTGGAGGTGTTTGTTGTTTGTTGTTTGTTGTTTGTTGTTTGTTGTTTGTTTCTGTCATTGTGAGTCTCTGGTTCTACAGCAGAAAAAATCCCCTGAGCTGAGAAGATTTTTCTCACAGAGTCAGTGTGATCACAAACGCCTCGTGTTCGTCTGACAGGGAACTACAACTTTCAAAAATGTTGGATTTTGTGGGGATTTTTACATATTTTTAGATCATAAACTTTTTTTCAGCTCAAAATCCTTAGAGCGTCGTCTTAAAAAATGTTTTATAATCGTTCGCTCTGCTCCTCTCTCTCTGATTGGTCAAAGTGATCACGTGATACACGAGCCCACGCTCCGTGCGCGCTCTCGCGTGCGCGCTCGTGTGCGTTGGCGAGTGCTCGCGGGAGAAAAGACTCTACTGCACATGCTCAGTCGACCCACAGACACAGAAGAACCTCACTGGGCTGAAGGAGAATCTGGAGTCATAAAACATTGAGCTGAGCCCGTTGACTTGAATGGGCGGCCATTTTGAAACCCTGGGGCTTGGGGCATAAACAGGTGGCACCGGCGGCCATGTTTGTAGTCCTTTGGCTGAGCTGTAGTTCTGTGTGTGTCCTGCAGGAGGTGCTGCTGAAGAGAGCGGCCGATCTGGTGGAGGCGCTGTACGGGATGCCCCATAGCAACCAGGTAATGCCCCCCTTGTCTCCTTCCTCATTTCCTTATCTCCTCATCTACTTCCTTCTCATCTCCTCCCTCCTCTCTCCTCATCTCCTTGTCTCCTCTCTCCTCATCTCCTTGTCTCCTCTCTCCTCATCTCCTTGTCTCCTCTCTCCTTGTCTCCTAGTATCCTCTCTCTTTGTCTCCTTGTCTCCTTGTCTCCTCTCTCCTTGTCTCCTTGTTTGTAGGAGGTCAGGGTCGTGTGGAGATTAGATCAGATCAATGTTCTGCTGCTTGTTTACAAACACCTCAGAGTGTCTCCTTGTCTCCTCCTCTTCTTCTCCTCTCCTTCTCTTCCTCCTCCTTCTCTCCTCTTCCTCTTCTTCTCTTCCTCCTTCTCTCCTCCTCTCTTCTCTTCCTCCTTCTCTCCTCGTCTTCTTCTCTTCCTTCATCTCTTCCTCCTTCTCTCCTCCTTCTCTCCTCCTTCTCTCCCCCTCTCCTCCTCTTCTTCTCTCCTCCTCTCCTCCTCTCCTTCTCTCCTTCTCTCCTCCTCTCCTCCTCTCTTCTCTCCTCCTCTCCTCCTCTCCTTCTCTCCTTCTCTCCTCCTCTCCTCCTCTTCTTCTCTTCTCTCCCCCTCTCCTCCTCTTCTTCTCTTCTCTCCTCCTCCTCTTCCTTGTAGGAGATGATCCTGAAACGTGCTGCTGACATCGCTGAGGCTTTGTACTCGGCTCCTCGGAGTCACGCTCAGATTCCGTCTTTGGGAAACTCGCCCCACGGGATGATGGGAGTCCAGAGCTTCAGCGACAACAACCAGGGTACAAACAAATATATATAAATATATACAAATATATATATAACATTTATATAACATATATAACTATATACAAATATGTATAATTATATATAAATATATGTAATAACTTATCATGTATAGAAAAGCACAGGATGTGAATATTGACTCACATCCGGCCCAACCACAACAACCAGGGTAAAAATACACAAATATATAAACACACACACGCTGTCTACTGTGTATCTTCTCTCTCTTTTCTCTGCTCCAGCTCAGGTTCCAGAGGCCTGAGGTTTTTGCAATGTCTTTGTTGTTTCTTTTCTGCTTTTTTCTGGACTGAGATGTTTGATGTTTCTCCTGGATCTGCTGCGGCTCCTCCAGTTTGCTCCTTTGTTCTGTTCTCATCCAGCACCAGGGTGAAGGTGAAGGCATCAGTGGAGCTCGTGGTGATCGGAGCATTCGGGGTTGTAACCTCCAAACTGGAAGAGGCAACAGCAGATACCAGGAAAAACAACAAACATCTCAGTCTAGAAAAGTGCAGAACAGAAACAGCAAAGAAACTGAAGAAGAAACTCTCAAGCTCCCAGGTCTCTGGAGAACCTGAGCTGGAGCAGGTCAGGGCACATTAATATGAAACTCAGAGTCACAGTAAAGTAACACTTTACTGTGTTTATTTAATGTCTTTTAGGAGGCATCTCCAGAGGTTCCAGTGTGTCTCCTCACAGTTACAGGGTTTTACTTTGTCTATTGACTGTTTGTCCGTATGTTCTCGTCTGTTTCAGGAGGACACTCCAGAGGTTCTTGTGTATGTTTCTGTAGATTTATTTAAATGTTCTCGTCTGTTTCAGGAGGACACTCCAGAGGTTCTTGTGTATGTTTCTGTAGATTTATTTAAATGTTCTCGTCTGTTTCAGGAGGACACTCCAGAGGTTCTTGTGTATGTTTCTGTAGATTTATTTAAATGTTCTCGTCTGTTTCAGGAGGATACTCCAGAGGCTCCAGTGTTTCTCCTCGTGGTTACGTCTCCACCTCGACTCCTCAGAACTCAAACTACAGCGGCGGCGTCAACGGCTACAACAGCAACATGAGCCCAGGCTTCATCAACGGAAACTCCTCCTCCCCCTACGCCAGTACGATCTGTCCATCCTTCTACACCTCCATCCATCTGTCCATCCTTCTACACCTCCATCCATCTGTCCATCCTTCTACACCTCCACCGCTCTGTCCATCCTTCTACACCTCCATCTGTCATCCTTCTACACCTCCATCCATCTGTCCATCCTTCTACACCTCCATCCATCTGTCCATCCTTCTACACCTCCATCCATCTGTCCATCCTTCTACACCTCCACCGCTCTGTCCATCCTTCTACACCTCCATCCATCTGTCCATCCTTCTACACCTCCACCGCTCTGTCCATCTTCTACACCTCCACCGCTCTGTCCATCCTTCTACACCTCCACCGCTCTGTCCATCCTTCTACACCTCCATCCATCTGTCCATCCTTCTACACCTCCACCGCTCTGTCCATCCTTCTACACCTCCACCGCTCTGTCCATCCTTCTACACCTCCATCCATCTGTCCATCCTTCTACACCTCCACCGCTCTGTCCATCTTCTACACCTCCACCGCTCTGTCCATCTTCTACACCTCCACCGCTCTGTCCATCCTTCTACACCTCCATCCATCTGTCCATCCTTCTACACCTCCACCGCTCTGTCCATCTTCTACACCTCCACCGCTCTGTCCATCTTCTACACCTCCACCGCTCTGTCCATCCTTCTACACCTCCATCCATCTGTCCATCCTTCTAACACCTCCACCGCTCTGTCCATTTCTACACCTCCACCTCTGTCCATCCTTCTACACCTCCACCGCTCTGTCCATCCTTCTACACCTCCACCGCTCTGTCCATCTTCTACACCTCCATCCATCTGTCCATCTTCTACACCTCCACCGCTCTGTCCATCCTTCTACACCTCCACCGCTCTGTCCATCTTCTACACCTCAATCAAACAAACCAAAGAGTCAGATTTTTTGGGGTTAGAAAAAGAAAACAACCTCTCCTCCTCTCTCCTCCTCTCCTCCTCCTCTCCTCCTGTCCTCCTCCTCTTCCTCTTCCTCCTCTCCTCCTCCTCCTCCTCTCCTCCTCTCCTCCTCTCCTCCTCCTCC